ACTGGGCAAGTATGAAGCCAGGAGACAAGAGCTTCTTTCTGGTCTCTCATGTGGGTGTGGGTGCGGAGGCCCAAACACTTGGGCCTCATCCTCCACTGCTTTCCCAGGCACATTAGCAGGGAGCAGGATTGGAACTGGAGCAGCCGGGACTTGAACTGGTGCCCATATGGGATGCTGGAAATGCAGGTGGAGCCGGGGCTGTGGCGTAGTGAGTTAAGCTGCTGCTGGCATCCCATATGGCCCCTGGTTTGAGTGGGGTCTTGGGCCCCTGCACCCACGTGGGAGACCAGGGAGAAGCTCCTGACTCCTGGCTTGGGTCAGGCCCAGCCCTGGCCGTTGCTGTCATTTGGGGACTGAACCAGCAGATGAAAGATCTCTGTCTCTCCTCCTCTCTCTGTGACTCTACTTTTCTTTTTCTTTCTTTCTTTCTTTCTTTCTTTCTTTCTTTCTTTCTTTCTTTCTTTCTTTCTTTCCTTCTTTCCTTCTTTCCTTCTTTCCTTCTTTCCTTCTTTCTTTCTCCCCCCGCCCCCCAGGCAGAGTTAGACAGTGAGAGAGAGAGAGAGACAGAGACAAAGGTCTTCCTTCTGTTGGTTCACTCCCCTAATGGCCACTACGGCCGGCGCTATGCCGATCCGAAGCCAGGAGCCAGGTGCTTCTCCTGGTCTCCCATGTGGGTGCAGGGCCCAAGCACTTGGCCATCCTCCACTGCCTTCCCGGGCCACAGCAGAGAGCTGGACTGGAAGAGGAACAACCGGGACAGAATCCGGCGCCCAACTGGGACTAGAACCCGGTGTGCCGGCGCCGCAGGCGGAGGATTAGCCAAGTGAGCCACGGCGCCGGCCTCTACTTTTCAAATAAATAAAGTCTTTAAAAAAAAAAGAGTAAAGGATGGCTGGTTTTGTTCACAAAGGATAGGAGCACTGGAGTAAGACAGACCCCTCGAGACCAGGTGGGCGGGGCCCCAGCCTGGGACGGGGAAGCCTTATTTGTAATGGGACAAAATGAGGAACAGTGTAATGGTCTGGGCAGAGAGAGATGGCTAAATAAACCCTGATTGTGCGTGCTGGGAATCGGACTTAGCACTCACAGAGCTGGCTGTGCTGAGCCACAGAGAGCACTTCTTAGTGCGTTTGGTTGCAGAATATTTGTGATGTATTTTTCACGTAAAAAAAATATAGCCAAAACCCAAGCCCACACAACAGTGCTCTATATTTTCTGAGGATATGTATATATATATGTATTTAAACTTCATCTGCATCTATGGACACATGCCCTTGTATATTATCAATAATAATAATCATAGAATACGCTTATATTATGCAAATGCCTGGAAAAGCGCCTGGAGCGGCACACAGCAGCTGACGGCCACGGTCAGGTCTGCGTTGGGGAGTCTGGTGCGGCAGGCTGATCAACGGGAATATGAGCCTGAGCTGCAATGGTTTCCCTTTGCCTTTTGTAATCAAAGAAACTACATTCAGCTATGACTTGTCTAGTAAAGAATTCACTGGAAAACGTTGCCACTGCTGCGTCTCTCTGTTTACTGTCGCACGCTGACTCCACGACAAGCAATCAGAGAATCCTGGGCTCTCCTGGGGAGACCGGGCTCTTCCCTTCTGTCGCGCGGAGGGTAGGCTGCCGGGGATGGCAGAAAAAGGGCTGCCCCTCCAGGCCGTGTGCGCCCCCGATCAGACCCCGTCTCCCCACCCGCTGCGGGCAGGTGGAAGTTGGGGGTTTTGAAGCGAAGTTCCTCGCCTGGAGTCCTGGATGGAGGACAACAGATGCGGCCACCCAGCCCTGCCGCTCAGAGCGAGGGGAACAGGTGGAGGCTCCGGGGTCAGGGTGTGAATGCTGGCGATTCATGAGCGGCCCAGGCAGCCCAGTGCCCAGCTCAGGGCAGCGACAGCTGGGCAGCACGTGGGCGGGGGAGGGGCGGGGGCTGGGGGTGGGAGGAGGCCCTACAGGGCAGAGGACAGGGAGAAGGAGGGGGCCTGTCCCCCACCCCACCCTGGCTGGACAGGAGGGACAGCAGAGCTCCCAGGCTGCCCTGATCGGCTGGGGAAGCTGCAGGGTGAGCGAACACAAGGCGAGAGGACGGTGCCCTTTCCCCTACCCCCCGCCCAGCTGTCTCCTCCCAGCCCTAAACCTCAAGCAGTTGGGCCCTCCCAGCAGCTGTGCCAGTCCTCTGGCTGGGTCAGGGCACGGGGATGGGGGGAAGCAGCTGCTGCCACCCGCCCTGCAGATGGGAGTCGGAGCACGAGGAGGTGACCAGGTGACGGGGGACGCTCCCCACTGTCTGTCCAGAGCTCCTCCGGCCTGGGGTCCCCCCCCCCCCGCCCCATTCTATTACTTAAGTGTGGGGGTGGGGAAGGCACAAGAACCAGAAAAACAGGGTCCACCAACATTAACACGCGGCGGGCAGGGGGGGAGACCTGCCACTGACTCCTCCCCGCGCCCCCTAGGAAGCCTGCCTTGTGCACCCTGCTCTGAGGACACTGAGCAAGTCACAGTAAGGGGACAGAAGGGGGTGGCACTGAGAGAGCCAAGGGCTCCTGCCCAGCCCAGGGAATGACCCAGGGGGACAGTCTAAGCCCTTCTCACGGGCTGAGACGTCTTTTCCCAGGTTTCTGCAGGTGGGACGGCTCCCGTCTCTTTGGGCTGGTGTAGGAGATTTGGGTCGGAAGTCAGAAAAAAAAATCCCGCGCAGCCTGCCCCTGCAGAGAGGAGACTCGGTGGTGCCATTTGGGCAGGTGCGCCGGCCCCAGCAACGCAGGGAGTCCCGCCCAGGAGAGCCGAGGCGCTGTCCTCCCTCGGCTCATCTCCCGGCCATGTGGGGCCTCTCGGCTGAGTGCTATCCCCGTTGCTCCAACCCTGAGCCCACACCTGGCCGGTCCTGGCGCCTGGAACGGGGCCGCGCTGCGGGAGCTCGGGTCCGGCCGGCAGAGGGACCCCGAGCCCCAGGCAAGGGCCGGCGCCAGCGGCCGTGTCCAGCTCCGCCCCGTCGCTGGGCAGGTCTGCGCCCTCCCCGCACCCCACCCCCACCCCTGCCCCGCTTCATCCTCTGGGAACTGGGAAAATAACGACCCCCGCCAGCAGCGCTGGGGTGATGCGAGCTCCACACCGTAAGGCGCCGGAGGCTGTTTTAAGCCCTGGAGGAAGGTGCCCGATCTTGGTCCAGGGACAGCGGTGGCAGTGGAAAAGCCTGGCTACTCAGGGCTCCTCCGTGTGTCGCCTTCCACTCGGCCACACCCCCTTCACCTGGTCACTCCCCCTCCACCTGTCCACACCCCTCCACATGGCCACACCCCCTCCACCTGGTCACTCCCCCTCCACCTGCCTGGCCAGAGGCAGCAAGTGGCTTTTAGGGACAGGAAGGACTCTGGCAGTTGCTGTTTGTCCTGGCCTGGAACTCAGGGCTCTGGTTTGGGCTGGCAGAAGAGCAGGGAGCCCAGGCCACGACCCCCTCCCCACCCTGACCTCAGGAAGGAGCTCTGGGTGCAGATCCCTTAGGCTGCCTCAGGCTCTGGAGACAGGATCTTGGGCTCAGGGCATGGGCACCGAGGATCTGAAGGGGTTGGTCCTAGACCTGCATTTCCAGTTCTGTTTAAGGTCAGGGCCTTAGGGCCAGGATGACTGGGGCTGCAGCCAGTGCAGCGGCTGAGCCTGGGTGAGCGGTCTGGAATCCGAGTGTGATGGTGAGGAGTCACTGTGGGGGCACATGGGAGGCCCGGGCTGCTTCATGGGGACAGAGCCCATTGCACCCCAGTTACTTTCCTATTGATCAGAGTAAAAATATGCTCCTTTAAATTTTTAAAAATTTATTTGAAAGGCAAGTTATGGAGAGAGGAGTAGAGAGAGAGAGAGAGAGATCTTCTATCCACTGGTTCATTCCCCAAATGGCTGCAACAGCCAGGGTGTCCATACTACGGGGTGCGGGCCTCACAGGCGGAGGCATAACCTGCCACGCCACAGCGCCGGCCACAGAGCGTTCCCCTAAGAAGCCCCTGGCCTCAGTTTAAGCCCTTGTTGTAGGGACAGGGGCAATGGAGCACCTAAGGGGGCTCAGAGGGAGAGGGTGACGTCACACTCGACTGTGCTGCTTTTCTGTCCCGCCTCTTTCATCTGCTCCAGTGGACGGAGGCCCCTCGAGGGGGGCGTCCACCGTGCCCTGGAAGAGGTTGAAGTGGGAATCGGAGTCCTGAACTCTCGAGTCGGTTCAAGCAGCGGTGGCTTCAGGCCTCCCCAAGCCTCAGGGTTTTAATCGTGTAAAGGGGATCATTTTTTTTTTTTGACAGGCAGAGTTAGTGAGAGAGACAGAGAGAAAGGTCTTCCTTTTTCCAATGATTCACCCCCCAAGTGGCCGCTATGACCAGTGCGCTGCGGCCAGCATGCTGCGCCAATCTGAAGCCAGGAACCAGGTGCTTCCTCCTGGTCTCCCATGCAGGCACAGGGCCCAAGGACTTGGGCCATCCTCCACTGCACTCCCTGGCCACAGCAGAGAGCTGGATTGGAAGAGGAGCAACCAGGACAGAATCTGGCACCCTGACAGGGACTAGAACCCGGGGTGCTGGTGCTGCAGGCAGGGGATTAGCCTAGTGAGCCACGGCGCCGGCCAAGGGGATCATCTTCCCACTAATGCATCTGGCGAGGCAGCAGCTGATGGCCCAAGTGCCTGGGTCCTTGCCACCGACATGGGAGGCCCAAGCTTCAGCCTGGCCCAGCCCTGGCCGTTGCAGACATTTGGAGAGTGAACCAGCAGATGGAAGGCCTGTCTCTCCCTCTCTCTCTCTGTCACTCTGCCTTTCGAATAAATGAATACAACCTTCCCCCTTTTTTAAGGAAAGAGGATTATAATAGCTTCCCAACCTGGCAGTGTGACTATACAGGAGTAGCTGTGATAAAGGGCCAGGCACACGTTCTGCGTCTCCCTCTGTCGGTCTCTACCGCCCCAAATGAAAATAGACATTCGCACAGAAACCGGAGCGTGCGTGTTCAGTGCAGCATTTTTCATAACAGCCTCAATGTGGAAACAACTCAAAGATCAATCAGTGCAGGAGTGGATGAACAGATACGGGGTCCACAAGGGGCAGGAGCTATTGCTCAGCCCTAAAAAGGAAGGCAGTACTGAGAGAGGGCACAGAGTAAATGGACCTGAGAGCATTGCACCGGGGGAAAGAAGCCAGGAGTGTATAGCATACGGTTCTATTTATATGCAATGTCCGCCACGGGCAGTCCTCGGGGACAGGCAGTAGAGGAGTGGCTGCAGGGCAGGGGGAGTGTTGGGAAGTGACTCTAAGGTGCGCAAGGTATTTTGGGGGAAGGTGATGAGAATATTCTAAAATTGAATAGTGGTGACGCTTGCACAATTCTGGAATACAGCGCTCCAAACCATTGCACACTTTAAGTGGGTGAACTTTCTGCTATGTAAATTATATCTCAGTAAAGCCGCTACATCTTTTTTAGCTGGGTGTCCTGAATTTAATCTGAGGACTGTGGTAGATGATGTTGGGTGGTTGCGACTTCTCGGCTGCCGTCCACAGCGCCACGTGGCCTCCTGTGCTTCCTCCGTCTGTCCTCCCAGCTCCACGGCCACTCCCTCCCCTTGGAACATCGAGAAGGCCCTGTTGGCAGGGAACTGCTTGGTGAGTGGGAGGGAAGACGAGGCATTAGGGAGTCTGGGTGCCTGGCTGACCAACCTCCGACAGGAGTCACAGCTTCTCCCCAGCCTTGATTTCCCCTTCTGCCCAGAGCCGGGAGAAGGAGCTCAGGAGGATGGGTGTGGTGCGTTGGCCAGGACTGGGCAGGCTGTGCAGGGCAGGGCCAGCTCTTACAAGCCCATCCAGTGATGGTGGGGTGACAGGTGGATTGGCCAGAGGCGCCTCTCTGGCTGCAGTCAAGGCCAGAGGGGCCAAGAGACCCACAGAGGGAAGGCTTGATTCTTTGATGTGCAATGCGGCTGGCAACGGCCAGCCCTGTGTCCACTGGGGAGAGGCGGAGTGGGGGCCGAGGGCCTGGGGGCCTCCCCCAGTGCTCAGGGGTCTGTGGGGGTGAGGCTGAAGACAGAGCTGGGTGCCTCCGGGGCCCTGCTGGCTGTCAGTGACCGCTTGGGTCCCTCTCAGCTCTGCTCCGGGATTCACCCTCGACTGCCTTCGCTCCTCTCCTTCCCTCGGGCTCTGCCAATCTGGCCTCTGTTTGAGCCCATCTCCTGCAGCCAAGCACACATCCTCTGTTCCAGGGAGCAGGCTGCACCCCCAGCCTCCAGGGCCACCACCTTTCCTCACCTGCTCCAGCGGTCACCCTTGAAGATGCTCCCATTCCAGCCCTGTTCCCGAGGCTTCTTGTCACCAAGGGCAACCACTCCCCTGCAGACCAGTCACGCTGAGCCCGCAGCACCCCTGCCCCGGCCCCTCCCCGCTGTGCTCCCTCTCTCCCAGGGTCTCCATGGCCACCTCGCTGCTCCTGCTGTGGTCACCCCGAGCCATCTCCAGAAGCTTGCTGGGCCCTCCCCACGGGCACATCCCACCAACCTGCCCGGCATGGACTTCATGTCCCCACCCCTGTCCCCCAGCCGCTTGTCCTCTCTCCACCTCCCTCCGCATTCCCCCAGGAACTCGCGTCTGCGCCACTCCTGGCTGGTCGCGGAGTCCCGAGCCTGTGCGAGAGCTCCTGTGCCACCCTCGTCTCTTCCTCTACCTCTTCCTCTGGTTTGCTTTTCAGCACCTGTGAGCAGGACTGCTGTCGTCTCTGGCCCGCCTCCTTGCTGTCACTGTCCCCTCGTTGTGTCCACTCCGCTCCGTTTCTCGGGAGGATCTTTCTACCCTGGCTTCTTTCAGATCCTTCAGGCCTTTGCTGGAAGATCCCCTGGAGTCTGCTGATAAAGTCATCATTTCGTGCGGCTTCCCCACCGCTAAAGGGTGGACCTCAGACGTGCTTTAGGCTTTAGGTGGGTGCCTCGCTCACTGAACTCCTTCTCCTCCTTCCTTCTTTTTCTTTCTTTCTTTTAAGATTTATTTACTTATTTGAAAGGCAGAACTACTTGGGGGGGGGGAGACAGAAAGAGAGAAAGATCTTCCATCTGCTGGTTCTCTCCCCAAATGGCTGCAGTGGTTGAGGCTGGGCCAGGCCAAAGCCAGGTCTCCCTCATGGGTAGCAGGAACCCTAGGACATGGGCCATCCCCCACTGCCTTACCACACACATTAGCAGGGAACTGGATTGGAAGTGGAACAGCCGGGACTGGAACCAGCGTCCACATGGGATGCCGGCGTTACAGGCGACTTTACCTGCTACACCACTACAATCCTTTCAACCTCCCCGGGAGACCTCCAGCCACTCTGCCACACAGCCAAGCCCCTGGGCTCCCCAGACACGGCAGCAGCGTCCCACCTCCCCCGCTCAGGCGGCTGCTTCCTTCTGTCTGCCTCCTCCTTGCACTGGCCTCCTCTGAAATATCCCCAGACCAAGGCCCAGCATGTGCCAGCCCAGCGAGCACTCTTCCTGTCTCCCGCACGCAGGTCCACACACCACACACTGGGGCGCCAGCCGATGCTGAGCAGGGCTGGACGCCTGCCCCGGCCCCCAGCACCCGTGCTTTGAGCTCTGTTCAACTCCCAGAAAAGTGCCCGGGGAACATATGAAAGGATGGATGGGGTGCGTGAGATGCTCCCCCTCCAAGAACTCTTCCCGCCTGATTGGATCAACAACTCCCAGCACCACCTGAGCCCCAGACGCACCTGCAGGAGTGACACGTGTCCCACCTCCATCAGGTGAGGCAGGTGGCCGGGATCTCAGTCACCTCTGCCACACGGCTTCCCTTTTTTAAAGGTTCTGTTCATCATTTATTTGAAGCGGGGGAGAGGGAGGGAGGAAGGGAACAAGAGAGGGAGGGAGGGAGGAGAGAGAGAGAGAGAGAGAGGGAGAGAGAGATCTTCCATCTGCTGGTTTACTCCCCAAGTGCCAGCAATGGCTGGCCCTGGGCCAGGGCCAAAGCTGGGAGGTGGGAGCCCATTCCAGGTCACCTACATGGATGGCAGGGACCCAACCACTTGAGTCATCGCTGCTGCTTCCCAGGCAGGAAGCTGGAACCAGGAGCAGAGCCGGGACTCAAACCCAGGCTCTCTGACATGGGGTGTGGTGTCTCAGGGTTGCGTCCCCAGGCCAACACTGCTCCTCACGGCTTCCCCTGAACCTCCTTCAGCCCTGGCTGCCTCATCTGTGATCGGGGACTTGGGAACACCTGCTCTGATCCCTGCCAGGTGTGTGGTGAGCATTCTGTGGGATGCTATCCGTGGGAATTCTTTGTGTGCCCATATTAGTATGTGAAGGTCCACCTATTGCAGGCCCCACCCCCTGTGGGTTGGGAGGGTGCAAAAGCCAGGAGCTCTCCAAACTCCGAACGTTGAAGCCGGTATTGGAGGGATTCCTGAGGACTCCGGGGGGTGGGGCGGGGAGGGGAGGGTCAGCAGGACCAGGGCCCCGGGGTGAGGTTCCCCTCCCCGCTTCCAGCTCCGCCCCACCCCTGGGAAGCTCAACTCAGAGCAAGCACAAGCAGGTGGAAGGGGGGTGTCGGGTCCTCATGGGAGCGAGCGGGTATTGGGGTCCTTTGTGCCCGTGTCCCCTACCTGACCGTGAGTCTTTTTTCCCTGTGTGTCCCCGTGTTCAGGCCACCTGTCTGACACATGAAAGGCACTTAATAAATATTTGATGAGTAGAATAAATGAATGGATCAATGACTGTGAAAGAAATGAAAGTGACAGTCTGGCTTCCTGATTTAGGAGCAGCGTCTCCCTGTCTGGAGGCATGGAGACTAAATGCCCCTCCCCCCGATCCTGTGTGTCCCTCCCCCACAAATCGACCAGCAACACCCAGGGGCCCACCCAGCCTATGCTGAGGTACAGGTTCTTCCCGCAGGTCCAATAACTCCCCACGGAGCCAGCTTTTGGGAGGGAGGCAGAGAGACCTGGATGGCAGATCTGAGATGGGGACGGAGGGGACTCCAAGGGCAGGGCCAGACGGGCTGGCGACGGCCCCTGGGGGCCAGAAATCTGTGTGTCTCAGCTGCTGCTCACGCCCACTGATGCTTGTGCACACACTGCCCCGAACAACGCAGAGAAAATGAAATGGGGCCACAACCGCCTCCTGCCTGCTGGAAAGGCACAGTGGAAATCCTCCCGCCCCATCTGCTCCCCACCGCCCCCGGGGCCTGAGCCAAGCCTTGGCACCCCCTCACCCCTGCCTCCTTTGCTGGCACTCCAAGGGGTGTGCAGACTTCAGCCTCCTGGTGCAGCCTTTCCTGTCCAGTTCCCAGTTCCGAAGCTTCTCACTGGGCACCTTTAAGGGCACCTACATCTGTGAGTGTGGGGTTCGGTGCAGCTTTGGCCTGCACGGAGCCGATCCCCGGTTCCCCACTTTCCTTCCCTCCCCCCTGCCACCCCTCCGCTGGCTGGGGCTGCCTGCTGGCCTTTCTGTCAACAGCCTGTGCCAGACATTTCAGCCACCGATCAGCTCACTGCATTCTCAACACCCCAGGCTGGGAGTGCTGTGCCCATTCCACAGATGAGGAGATCAGGGCTTGGCTGTTGGAGGCAGGGCTGTGGGTGGAGGGTCACCGAGTTGCAGAGTGGACCCTGGGAGGGAGGGGCATCTAGGCCGGGGTCCTGCACACTGTGGCTTCCAAGGCCAAGGTTTTTGGCTCAGTGTAAATTCTAGGTCCCTTGGTTCCACCTGATCCATGTCCCACAAAGACCCATCCCACTGCAGACCCCTGCCCTCCCTGCCTCTCAGCCCTGCTGCCTGACCCTGGTGGGGGTTGCTGGGGGGGTAGTAGTTTCCACCAGGGAAGACCCCGCCCACTCCTGCGTCTCAGCCTTTCTGTCCCACCCCAGAGTGGGACCTGTTGTTGGAGCAGAAAAGGATGACATCACTCAGCTGATGCGTACACGGAGGCCAGGAGAGAAGTGACTTGCCCAAGGCCACACAGCCAGCGAGGGGCAGAGTAGGGGCTAGAAGCGTCCAGCCCTTCTGATTCTCCTTTGACCACACCACAGCCCCGCTACCCAGGACAGCGGCCGTCAACACTGACACATCCTGCCACCTGGGCTTCTCTAGGGCATCCCAGCTCTGCTCTCAAACAGGCCGGGTCCGGGAACAGGCACCTTGTTGGGAGGAGGGGGGGAGGGAACAGGGGCTTTGCTTATTTTGCTCAGAACTGAGGAGCAAGCAAATCACCTACGGGTGTTACACAAATGCATGGACTCCGATCAGCACCCTTGGGTGAGAAGGCCTGGGGGTGGGAGTGTGTCTGTGTCTGTGTGTGTGTCTATGGGGGGGTTCTCAGGTATCCTGCAGAGCTGAGCCTGTGGCTGACGGCTGGAGAATGACCCCCGGCACCCAGGCTGGCCCCTGCCGGCCCCTTGGGTGTTACAGGGCTCTCGGACAGTAGATGAGCCACAGCCTGGAAGCTGAAGGAAAAGGAAGAGAAGAATTCTCGAGTCCAAGAGGGCTGGAGCCAGGAAGGGGCTTTGAGGCAGGGCGATGGGTGGGCAGAGGGTGGGAGGCTGCCAGTGGGGTGGGGTGGAGAGGAGGTGGGGGGATGGGGGGTTCCCATGCCCCAGTTTCCCCAGAGCCTCCTCGCTCCTGCTCAAGGCAGGAATGGAAGTCGTGTTGGGCTTCCTCCACCTCCTGGGAACGCTCAGCTGCCCTCCACCCTGCACCAGCCCCTCCCCTCAGTGATTCAATGCAGACCCTCCCCCCTCCCTGGGCAGAGACCCTCCCTTGGCATTCCAGGAGCCTGTGAGGGGCAGTGCCCCTAGAGGCTGGATTCTGGGTGGGTTGGATGGCCCTGGGTTCCCCCAGCCTGAGTCCCTGTGCCCTTCCCAGTACCCGCAAACCTGGATTTGTCAGGTTGGGCACTGAAGGCCCCATGCTGAGTGGCGTCACTCAGAGAGGGTATCGATTGGTGCCAGGGGCCACCCAAACGGAAACTGGCAGCGGGTGGCCAGGGGGAGGCTCAGGGAGCACCAACACTGGCAGTCAGGTGCCTGGGTCGGGATTTGTCCTGCGGTCTTTGGAAGTACCCTCTTCACCTGAGTTTGGCTCTCTACTACAAGGGACAGCACTGGACACCTTACGGCTTAGGTGCTGGGCTGGAGGGGTGGGGCGACACTGACCTCGGTGACTTCGGGAAGCCCGGCCACATCCCTAAGCCTCCGCACCCTCACCGGCGCGGTGCAGTGGCTAATTGACTGAAAGGCGGGTCTGGAGGACGGGTAATGACTCAGGACAGCAAAGTAAGGATGAACGTTCCTGGGAATGTGCAGGCGCCGGGTCCACGGGGAGAGCGGGTCTCAGGGCGGCCGAGGGACCGAGCTGCCAACCCACTGCCCGGCCAGGCCGGCGAGGGGGCGCCGTGCAGCCCTGCAGGTGAGCAGTTGCTGTGGGGGCGCGCGGGCGCTGGCGGCCAAGCCGAGGCGCGAGGCGGGGAGCGGGCGCCCTGAGGCTGCGCCTCGGTGCAGTGGCGGGGCTGGATTCACACATCAGACTCTCGGAAAAGCTCACATTTTCCCAGCTTTTCGCACTCAGAATCACTTCCTTTGTTCGGAGGAGGGGGTGGGGGAGGAGACGGAGGGCGAGGAGGGAGGGGCCCGCGGGTGCCGCCACCGCCCCCGCCCCCTCCCGGGGTGCGGAGCCCGATTGTCACTCAGCTCCCGCGCCGGGGGCGACGGAGGCGCCGGCGCCCGAGTCGAGTCCCCGCCGGCCACCACCTCCCTGGACCCAGCCGGCCCTGGTTTCTCCAAGCAAGAGCGCAGCGAGCGGCTGCCCAAGGCGTCGAGGCGTTGGGGACCCTGGGGCAGAACAGCTCCGGTAGCCGGGAGCGCCGCGGGCTTTGGTGACCTTGGGTGAGTCTGTGCCTCCGTTGGCCCCGGGGACTCCCCACCGGGGTCGCAGGAGCCGGCTGCAGGAAGCGCCTGGAATGCCCCCTTGGGGCAGGCGATGGGCAGGGGTCCCTGCCAGTGCTGGAGCGGGTCCGGGGATGGCTAAGAGTCAAGCTTGAGCCATGTCTCAGGTGGGTGGGCGCGGGGCAGGCGTGCGGCGCACGCAACCGGGTGGGGCGTCCACGCCCTGGCCTAATCCCGGTCGCAGCTCCGCAGACCCACGCCTGCCACCCCGGCCCCAGGTGCGAAACAGGGGCGCTACCTCTTTAAAAGCGTCCGGGGCAGAGCCTCTGCCGCACCATGTGATTGCTTGAAAGGCCGGGCTGGGAGCGCTGCGGCGGGAGCCTGGAGGGCCATGAGCCTCCAGCGCCCGGAGCCCAGCCCTGCCTGTAGCAGCCCGGGAGCTCCGGGCTCCGGGTGCTCGCAAGTTTGGGCCCGGGCTCTGGGCCCCTCTCCTGGCCAGCAGGCAGGATGGTGGTGAGCTCCCTGCATGGTGCTCTGTGGGCGCGGGTTGGCAGAGCCAGGCTGGGGGACCCCTGTGGGGTGTGTGTGTGTGTGTGTGTTGGGAACTGTCTCACACCTGATAACACAGTCAGTGCAGGAGAGAGTGCTGCTATTTTAAGTTGCTGAATGGAACCTCTGGGGATGAGAAGGGAGGGGACCTAGGCAGAGGAAGGGCTGGGTAGCCCCAGCAGCCTGGGCAGGCACTGGCAGTGCCAAGTGGGGCAGCCAGAACCCAGAGCACTGGGCTCCCCCCTCCTCCCAGGCCGGCCTCCCACCCCAGGCTCCCTGACCACAGGTGCCCGCCTCGTGCCCCTCCGTGCCGTTCTGCTGATGTGCCCAGCCTGTGCCCGCCATGCCGCCCTCCATCTCGGCCTTCCAGGCCGCCTACATTGGCATCGAGGTGCTCATCGCGCTGGTCTCGGTGCCAGGGAACGTGCTGGTGATCTGGGCCGTGAAGGTGAACCAGGCACTGCGGGACGCCACCTTCTGCTTCATCGTGTCGCTGGCAGTGGCTGACGTGGCCGTGGGCGCCCTGGTCATCCCGCTGGCCATCCTCATCAACATCGGCCCCGAGACCTACTTCCACACCTGCCTCATGGTGGCCTGTCCTGTCCTCATCCTCACCCAGAGCTCCATCCTGGCCCTGCTGGCCATCGCCGTGGACCGCTACCTCCGCGTCAAGATTCCTCTCCGGTGAGTCCACGGCAGCCACAGGCGCTCACAGCACCCGTGCTGGCTAGCTTGAGAGGGCACACAGTAGCGTGCACGACACCCAGACAGCGCTGTGCCCCCGCCTCTGCTCCGCCGTGCTCTGTGCTGCGGGGCCAGCCTGAGCTGAGCTGGAGAAGCAGGTGGGGGCTGGAAGGCTGGAGGAACACGAGCCTGGCAGTGCCCAGACCCCAGCGCTGAAGCCGCGGCCACCAGGGAACCTGGGGTGGCAGGAGAGGGGCGACTTGGAGGGGCCGCCCAGCTAGGGGCAGAGTGGGTGCTGAATGGCAGTGTGCTGAGCTCCGCCAGTGGCAGGGACTGGGGTCGGGGTGAGGAGCTGCTAACGGGGACACACCAGGGCCAGGAGTGCAGCCTCCGCCGGCGGTCCCAGGCTGGCTTCTTGGAGACTTGGTTCAGCTCTCTCCTCCTCCTGTGTGCCTGCGCCAGGCGGCCCCACCCTTGGGGACTGTCCTACTGAACCCAGTGGGCTGATAACCTCTCCCCAGCTCCTACTTAGGGGATCGCGTGGCAGGCAGGAGGCGGGGAAACACTGCCACCTGCTCTTTAACATCCACGTTCTGCAAAACCACGTGTGTCTTTGCCTGGCTCGGCGGAGGTGCTGGTGCTGCCTCCAGACAGCGCCGGGGTGGGTGTCCTCACGGTGGCAGTCCTTGGCTTGGGCATCCAGACCATATGGGACTTGCCAGGCCATAATCTCATCGCCAGGCAGTGCCTGGGCCACCGAGTGCCAGTGAGGGCCTGGGCATGCTGCCCAGGACTGGCCCTGCTGGGACACTCTCAGAAGGGCACACTGGCCCCCACTTCACATTATTGTCACCAGTAGATTCCTTTTCTACTGGGGAGTGCTGGCCATCGGCGGCACCTGCTGTCCCCAGTGTGGCTCCCGTATCTGGGACGTAGGGCCTCTGGCCTCTCCTGGCAGCCTGCCCGGGCAGGGCTGGGCACCATGGTGCTCCCTTTGCTTGACTTCCCAATGCCTTTTTCCACACATGGTTTTTCCCCCGCTCTCTCCCTGGTCCTGGGAGGGAGGTGGAGCCGGTGCCGGCAGAGGGGAAGCCACGCCTCGGATGTTCTGCGGCAGGAGGCTGGGAGCTCAGCCCCAATACGGTCACCCACCTGCCTTCCTGATGCTCCTTGCCTGGCTGCTAGGAGCGCGTCTCTCTGCCCTGACTCCTTCCCTCACGAGCTCCGGGTTTCTCCGCGGAGTAGGGCTGAAGACGGCTGCAAGGGACGAAGGGCTTGCAGCCTAGGGGCCCCACGAACTCAGCCGCGAGGGCCTTGGTGTTGCCATTAGCTCGGGTTCATTGCCAGGCTGCACAGACAAAGCTGGTCCCAGTGCATTAACAGGGCTGGGCCGCATAGCCCGACCATTATGCCCAAGTGTGGCTGCGTTAGGAAACTCGTGCAGATGTGAGAAGGCTGCCCGGGAAATCTGTCCACTCGCTGTGTGGGTGCCAAGACCAGCCAAAGGCCCGGTCCTCCCGTGACTGCGGGCATGGCCGGGGTGTTCCCTGCCTGCCCTGTGGACCGGGCGGGGGGCACTGCAGGTTCCCTCCTCCGGGGGCAGCTGCGGGTGCTCTGGAGCAGCGTCTCCAGGAGCTGTCTTCCAAGGGCTGAGGCAGGAGCCGGCCTAGAGGCTGGCACAGACCTGAGTGCGAATCCTGAATAAATTTTAGCTGTGAGACCTGGGGAAAGACACTTATTTAACCTTGAATTTCCTCACTTACAAAAGGGGACATAATGCACTTAGCAATATGCATGATACACTATGTGCGAGCCACAAGTGGTGTCTGTCTGTAGTTTTTTTAGGATTTATTTATTTGAAAGGCAGAGTTACCTACACACACACACACACACACACACACAGGGTGGGGATGGGGAGAGAGAAAGCTGGTTCATTCCTCCAAAAAGCTGCAATGACCAGGGCTGGGCCAGGGGCCTGGAACTCCATCCGGGTTTTCCACATGGGTGGTGGCAGGGGCCCAAGTACTTGGGACAGCTTCTGCTGCTTTCCCAGGCACATTAGCATTAGGACACTAATGCTGGATGGAACAAGTAGAGCAGTTAGGAATCAAACTGGCATGGCAGGTGGCAGCTTAACCCACTGCACCACAGCACTGGCCCCCTATGTTTATTGTTTAAAGATTTATTTATTTGAAAGGCAGAGAGAGCTCGTCCATCCACAGGTTCATTCCCTAGCCGGCTGCAGCAACTGGAACAGGGCCAGATTGAAGACAGGAACTAGGAAATCCATCTGGGTCTCTTATGTGGGCGGCAGCAATTCAAATATTGGAGCCATCATTCCACTGCTTCCCAGGCACATTAGCAGGGAGCTGTAGGGAAGAAGAGCAGTTTGGACTTTATTATTTTTAAAGACGTTTATTTATTTGAAAGGCAGAGTTACAGAGAAAGGAGAAAGAGAGAGAGAGATATCTTTGATCTACTGGTTCACTCCCCAAATGGCCACAATGACCAGGGTTGGGCCAGTCCAAAGCCAGGAGCTAGGAGCTTCTACTGTGTCTCCCACAGGAGTGCAGGGGCCCAAGGACTTGGGCCATCCTCTGCCTGCTTTCCCAGGTGCATTAGCAGGGAGCTGGATCAGAAGTGAAGCAGCCAGGACTGAAACCAGCACCCATATGGGGTGCTGGCACTGCAGGCTGCAGCTTAACTTGCCTTGCCACACCGCTGGGACTTGGACTGGAGCTCTGATATGGGTGCCGCTGTCCAGGGCAGCAGCTTAGGTGGCTGTGCCACAGCACCTGCCCCTATCATTAATATATGGTTCAGAGTGAGGCTTAATCGGCAAGCCCTGCCTCCCTTCACACTCATGCTCATCTATGGCTACACACATGCACACACAACATGCTCTTCTATGGCGACACACACGCACATGCACACAGCACGCTCTTATATGGCAACACATGCACACATGCACACACAAACAACACATTTCCAAGCAGGTGTGCAAGTCCTGTTATATTACACCGGGATGCGTTTTCTCTCCCCTGGCGGATTGTTGGTACCTCAAGGACAGGGCTGGGCAGTGTGGCCCATTGAGTCCTGTCCTACAGGTGGTAGACCCTCAGTAACAGCTGACTTTCCAGAGTGGGCCTGGTTGCACCCCACACAGGCCTCCCGACTGGCAAACCTCCAACCTTCTTGCTGTGGACTGGACCTCTTTGGGTCCTGGCCATGGCCGCCCCCGCCAGCCCAGTGTGGCTCCAGCGGCACCACCCATACCGGCAGTGCCTTCGAGGGCCCTGCCCCACCAGGACGAAGCTTTCTCCGTGTCCAGGGCTTTGCTCCTCACGGTGGGGGGTGGTCCTCGCCCAGCTGTTGGCCACTTGCGGCTCTTGCCTCTCACCGCCCCGGCCCCCGCAGGAGGAGCTCGCGCTCTGCTCCCCTCTGGGTCGCTGGAGACCTTCTCAGCTGGAGATCCAGGCCCCCTGCAGTGCAAGGCAGACGTGGCCCTGGCTGCAGGCGCTGGCGAGGCCGTGTGGACACAGCTTCCCGCTGCGCACAAGCCACAGGACCAGGCGTGGTTTGGACAATTAACCACAAATGATGTTTCCTTCCACTTGGTAGAAAGCAGGGAGAGAAGAGGCCATGGCATCATGTAGTGTGATCCAGTTACAATGTTTTTGGAAGATGTATCTAATTTATTTGAAAAGCACAGTGACAGAGAGAGGAGAGACAGAAAAAGAGATCTTCCATCTGCTGGTTTACTCCCCACATGGCTGCAAAGGCGAGGGCTGGACCAGAAGCCTGGAGCTCCTTCCGGGTCTCCCACGTGGGTGCAGAGGCTCAAGCACTTGGGCCTTCCTCTGCTGCTTTCCCAGTGGGCAGGGAGTTGGATCAGAAGTGGAGCAGCTGGGACTCAAACCAGCACTCTAGTCTGGGATGCCAGCATTGCGGGCGGCAGCTTAACCTGCTGCGCCACAGCACTGGCCCCAAGTTACAAAGTTTTTAAAAGAAGCTCAAATTGCTGACCCATCAGTAACGTGCATGGATTCATTTACATGTAGTTTGCATGTTATTTGCATAGCACCTCCACATCCTTGGCGATCATTTCCCCCGTCCCCACAGGTCCTGGTTCTAGGGCATCTGCGTGTCTGTCCCCTCATCCAGGGCTTTCTTGGTGACACTCGGGGCATGGTTGTGGAGGTGAGTGCTCACCGGCTCCCTGCCCACGCCCTCTCTGGAATGGAGACCCCAGGGAGGGCTGGTGACGGCCAGGTGGGCTGGCTGTTTCGGAGCCACACAGAGCTGCGTTTCGCTCCGTTACTGGTGACTGAGCAGCCTCTCAGCCCCTGCTTCACTATCCCACAAATGAAGGGGTGGTGTTGGTGATCTCTGGGGTTCCACTGGCTCTAACTCTGTGACTTTTCCTGACCTTGCAGGGCTGTGCAGGGATCCTGGGCAGCTTTAGTGTCCCACGGGTTGGCTCCTGGTGGCTCTGTGTTGGGCACGACGCTGTGTTTTATGAACTTGACCTCCCTCTAGTCGAGGTTGTTGCTGTCCCATTCTGTGGACAGATCCTTGGAGCCGCTGAGGTCTGAGGCCGGGGGAGGCTTGTCGGGAGCCGAGGCAGCACGGGCTCCAGGCCTGTCTGACAGATGCCTGCGGCTAGGGAGCCCAGGTGCATCTTGCATCAGCGCAGAGGCTGTGGGGTAGGGCAGGAGTTTCCTCCTAGCTGGCAGGGGCACAGTCTTCTCTCCCGTGAGCTTTGCATGCTCAGCCCCACCCCTGCCCTCCTGCCTTCACCCAGTGGGCAGTGGAGCCCCTGGGAGCTGTGCCTCTGTCCACAGCTGGACGCTTGCCCTGCTGGGCTGCGGAGCCGAGAAGCCTGGTAGATGCGGGTGTGTTGGCATTCACTGAGCCCTCCCGGCCCTGGCTGGCCTGGGCTTTTCTTGACAATGAAGTGACCCTGGCTGGTGACTGTGTCCTCTGGGTCCCAGGTCCTT